AACAATCGTATTAATAACTCACATAACAATAACATCAATAGCAATAATTTGTATTTAGTAAATGATGGAGATTCATCTTTATTTACAAAAACTGATGACAGTTCATCAACAGAATCCACATCGCCACCTCGCAACAATAATGATCATCAGTATGAAAAAATTAAATCAAATGAACCTGAAAAACCAGATAATTTGTTTTTATGTACAATTTCAAACCAATCACACATAGTAAACATTAAAGCAGAACTTTATCAATACAATAGAACAATTAAATGGAGTAATCCACCGGATAATGTCTGCATATTGCCAACAAAAGATGACGTGTTAGTTGTAGCATTTGAGAAAAATTTGATAGAAATTGCTACGTTGAACCCTATAATATTAATAATGAAATTTGTGGGGACTCTAATAGATTAGAAATTGATAGTGGTATTAGAAGAGTTTTATTTTGGACTTGTCAATTAAATAACGAGAATTATATTTATCGTGGAAAAGTTGAATTATAACAGATTATATATATTATATGCATACATACATATATACACATGAATTTCTTTTTATATATCATTTTCATCATTTATTATCATTTTCATTATTTATATTATTTATAAAAATATTTTTTTCCTAATAAAAAACCTCCCAAAATGTATTATTACTATTTATTTATGAGGAGGGTATACATGCTGCAATAAAATGACATTATGTCACAAGGAAACTTCAGGGCCTAAAATTGTTTAACGCTGCGATGTTCACAGAAATTAAATTTGGCCATTTTTATTTTTAAATCTAAAATATTAACTAATACTAATAAAATGCTTACCTTCACAAGCGAAATTTTTTTGTGGATTGTTGATTTTTCTTTTCACTATAATTACCAAAACCTATAAAAAAGATTGACAAAATAATTAATCTAATAGTCTAGAAAAACACAAATCCAACCAACTGGTGAATAAAGTTGTGGGAGAATTTCAAACACTTGTTTGATAAGAAGACCGCGCCGAATCCAGGATTTTATTTGATAAATGACAATTGTAACCCATGAATCAATGAAAAACGGTGAAAGAAGATGATACAAAAGATGAAGGAGAAGATGCTAATATTAACAATAGTAATAATAGTGAATAGTGTCTATGTCGCAATCCAAAAGGGAAGCAAAATGGTCGCAAAGATGGTTGCAAAAGCTGCAGCCAGTATCTTTA